CCCCAAAACCCCAAAACCCCAAAACCCCAAAGTGAGATATCCTAATTGAAAATGGAACATAACTAATACATGCATAAATCCAGATGAGAGTGACACCATTGACACTTTGCTAATGAATTCTAGCTTTATGGTAGACCAAGCTTGAAGTTTGTAAGCGAGATGATACCTGTGAGGCTACTAATAATTTGGTCTTAGACTTGGGTGCTGGCCAACCTCTTTGAGAGTTGAGATAGACTGAAGTATTGATGGTAAAGATTCGAATAAACTACTTAAATCTTAGCTTTAAGAATCTGATCTGGAACTCCTTTAAAGAGAAAAATCATTTTGAGAAACATTTTTAGCATACAAATATTGGCTTAGAGATTCGTTTAGGCAGACAAATTCTCATCCAGAGAATATTGCTTTTGGAGCATTTCAGCTGTTTTACCAGGGAAGTAATAAAGCAAGACTTCAAAGTCTTCGAGTCCTTCATCTTTCTGCTGGGCAACAAGACTTTTAAGCAGCCTTCTGTCTCTGACCGAGAAAGTAGTATTGGAAGCTATTTTTTGAACTCTTTGCAAAAGTTCAAGTTTCCTACTTTTCCTCCACTTTGTCTCATTTACAAGCTTAGCAAGAATGTTGTCGAGGTCTTCTGGAAGTTGGCCTTCGTGGGTGTAAAACCTTGTAATATCAACTGCTGCTTGCTTTCATAAATCGTGCAGGACCCGGAACATTTCTATGAAACTGTTGAGATTTGTCTTAAAAGATACTGAAAATTCTTGGTTAAAATTAGAACCTCAAACCCCCTGGTCCAAAATTAAATTTATCAAACAGATGTTAGGACCTACCTCTGTCATGCTTTTTGGTAAATCTGGCTCTGTTTCCAAAGGAGAATGCATCCTCTTTTACAAGAGTATCCTCAGAGCCCATCAGGGAGCTCCTGGCTCTGGTCTGAGGAACTCTTCTCACCACCAATGTTTCATTGGCTGGATGCTCAAAGCCAACCTGCTTTGACACAACAACAGGAGAATGGGTCACAGTGGAGAATTCCTTGTCAGGAGTATTCTTCGAGACCTCTTCTGTACTAAAAGAGAAAACTACTTTGTTATCAGACTCTGGCTTGCTGGTGAATTCCTTTAACGAATTTTCCATTATTGCCAACCCATCAAAGAAGCTATCGACGGGTTCCTTCTCAAAAGAAAATGGAAAGCTTAGATCTCATGAAGGAGGAAAGCCTTCAAGATCCCTTCAGTTCTCAAAGCTGTCATAGCTGGTTTCTTTGAACAGAGGGAGGCTGGCCACGAATACATCTTCATTGGTAATATTTTGTGGGTTTTCAGACATTAAAATTATTTGATTTATTAATTTATGATTATTTTTCACTTTTTATAATACCTCCTACCTTTGATGATAATCTCAAGCAATAACGACCATGGAAGGAGAGTACCAGAGGAGGTCCTAGGAACTCCGGTCCCTCTCTGGAGCATTTCTGGCGTAATTTTAACAAATTTTATGAGAAATCCCTCTAATTTTTCAGAAAGAAAAGAGTCTTCCAACTTTATCTAATGAATCCGGTCATTATTAAATATGAATTATGAGGGCAAATTTGCTTTAGAATTCTTGCGCTTCCTTTCATAGGCGATCTCTCACAAGTTTTGAAGAAAATAGACCAGATAAAAATGGAGTTCTTACCAAAATTGCTACAATTTGAATCTTTCCCTACCAGAGTCTTTCTGCCTTGTTCTGGCAGCTGTTGGTTTTCTGACTAATGCTTGAGAAGCCAAAGGATATTCTTAGGTAACTCCAATATCTTTGGGTTCTCTGGTTATTTCTTTAATCTGCTTTGAAAGCAGTTATTACCCAAAAACTTTACATTTTATAAAGATCTGAAACAGGTTTGAAACAAGTTTGAAAAGTCTAAAAATGTAACTATTTCAGCCGTTACTTTAACCCCTGGGGTTTTGGGGTTTTGGGGTTTTGGGGTTTTGGGGTTTTGGGG